CATTCTGCTAATACTAATGTTAATAATAAGATTCAATAGTTTTCCAGTTGATAAACTAAAGGTATTAGTCAGCTAATGAAAATATACAATAAAACATTTTTATTACTTTATGAAATAAATATTTTGAAATTCACTTAGCATTGTTTGGCTTGTATCTTCCCATTGAGGTTTAAGACTGAAATTGATCAGTCTGTTATTGGCATATGTACATACTCTGAGTATGCCTCAATATTGCCTTAATTCACATGCTTTGTAAGCAATGATAAATAGTGACTAGCAGTGCAATCCAGGACGCGTGTTTCATCCTGTTTGGGACTCGTCAGCTGGATGTACCTGCATCTCAGAGTTGATGTTCACTCTGAATTTAAATTCACCTCATTGCACAAGCAAGTGGCTATCACGACTCAGTAGCTGAATGAATAACGCGATGGCGTTTGAAGCGAATGGTACTGGGTTCGAGTCCCAGAGTGAACGTCAACTCTGAGATGCAGGTACATCCAGCTGACGAGTCCCAAATAGGACGAAAAGCGCGTCCTGGATTCCACTGCTAGCCACTATCTGTCATTAATATTTTGAAATGTTTGGTAAATCTATTAAGTGTATATTATTTATATTCTGTCAGTTTGATGTTGTTATGAACTAATCAGTAAAATTGTTTTGAATACATTCTGTAAAAGTAAATATAGAATGAAAGTATGATTTATTCACTTGAACTATTCCCATTATATTAAAACACAATTATATGAACGAAGAATATTCTTTTGAATAATTTCTCATTTGGTTCTACGATAAGAAATCCAAATTAATAATCCATAAAGTTCTAATCAAAAGGCCAGAGCTTTGTGTCCAAAAGAAATATGTTTAGCTGCTTCTTTTACCCTGGTCAACTTCGGGGTCAACTAGTTAGTAGTCAGTTTTACAATATGATGACGTAAGGTGATTAATGTTCATTTTTATGTCCCAAACTAATTACTATTTTTTATCATTATTATTGTTTCGATAATTTTAATGTCTGATTATATTGACTTGAAAAAGCTTGGACCAGATTGCCAGGCGAAACGTTGGATTTATTTCAAATTCATTCACTGAGATTTTACAAAAATATTCTTCCTCTTTAATATCCCAATATTATTATTACACTTGATAACCTCAAATATTGAAATTAATACAATCTCCACAAAAGCCATTCTGATACTAATCAATATATGCTCACTAGTGACTGACTTCAAGAGGTATATCCTGGAGTTCTAGTGAGAAGCAGTGACCAATGGAGTTCAACCGAGTTAGTTGTCAGATAGTAACTTACTGATGACAGTGGTGAACAGTGGTTCAACTTTGCGGATCGCTTGAGGTTAGACATTAACACCGTTTGACCTCGACCGGCTCAGTGGTCTAGAGGTTAAGCGTTCGCGTGCGAGATCGATTGGTCCTAGGTTCGAATCTTACATCATGCTTGTTTAGAATCCGCTTTATTTCTTCCGATGTTTTACTACGATATGAGATGACAATGGTGGATTTCTGATCTTTCAGTTTACATTTTAGTTTAATTTCTTTCATTTCTAATAACCTTTAAAAACTCTTTTGGGTAGTTGTTATCCCCAAGTGTGGACAAAACTTTATTCAGTTCAACTTGTTGGGCTTTTTTATCTGTAACTAGCTTAATACTTCTGTTAATTAAGCTTTTAACAACAGTGAATTTCGTACGCAGCGCATGAAAGGAACGATAATCTAAGTATCTCTCAGAATGTTTGAATTTCCTGAATATATTCATTTTCAACTTATTATTATTATGTCTTCGTTCAACCAAACAATCGAGAAACACTAGTTTGTAATCAACGTACCTTATTCTACCTTGAAGTTGAATGATCTTTTAAAGTAAGTAATATGTTTTCAAACTAATTCATATTCAAATATATTGAATGACAACATAAGCTACAAATAAATATTTAATTAAGAATTTTATCAGTTACTTGTTCTTTCGTATTTCATAAGTTTCTATCTTGAAGTTAGTTTCTATGGCACATAGCATTGTACTTCAGCTGTTTGACTGCATATGAGAATGAGTTTCGATTTATTGAGAGCTTATAATTCAGTCTTCTTAAATTTTTTATAAGCCTTCTATTTTGTATATTATCTCAACAAATAATCTGTTAAAACGCATCAACTATATATATATATAAATTAGGGTCAATCATTGTAACGTATCATCTTTCTAACTGAAACTATATAGAATTTTAAGATGTTGTCTAAACAAGGAGTGATTTATCAATACTCAAAGTTGGATTGCACTACTAAACATTATCCATCTTTGCTTATACTGCTTGTGAATTAACGTTATATCGAGGCAATACTGACAGTATGAACATGTACTAATAAGAGACTGATTAATTACAGCCCTAAACATCAATGGAAAGATTTAAGTAAACAATGTCAAGTGAATTTGTTACTATTTGTTTATAAAATAATTTGTTTTTAATCAATAAACATAATAAAAATAACAGGAATTTAGAAGTTGAACTTTAAATAAATATTTAAGTGAAAGTTCAAGTACAAAGGTATAGAAACTTGAAGATTGTTTTAAATAAATTCACAGAAAATGTCTGCTCTTTCCAAAATATTTCACCTAACGTTAAATCTTAGTTCAAATTAAAATTAAATCCGACATCATTTTATTATTATTTTGGGTCAGTAAAGATACTTTTAGTTGTAGTTTGAATTTTTAAATGCCTGATGCTTCCACATATATCAGGAACTACTCATAACAATTTGTACATAAAAACTTAAAAGCTATTCTATAGAGTAACTACATCTGAACTGTTTGATTTACTTGCATAGTGTTAAAAAAAACACGAAGTAAGCTCATTCACAAATAGATTTGGTTAGATTTAAAAAAACGCATTCTGTGATACTGTCCTAGCTAATTTCCAGTTATAACTAAATGATTTATTTCCAGCATAAGCATAAGAACACATATATGTTACAAACAAGTGTCTCAATAAGATTCATTGTTAACATTTAAAACACTGATAGTAACTTTCTTACTAAATAATTAGATATAGTGAGTAAGTCAATCAACTAATCAGTAATCAACTAACCAAACATTAATTATTTCATTCCCTTATATTTTCTGAATTAATAATTTACACTTTACAAAACATAATTTATTCAAACATTTACAATCTCAAAAGAATCATGAATATCATAAGACAAGTAAATAATAATTCATTTAAACATTAGACAAAATACCTTAAAAAGAAATGACTCTATTTCATTTCAAGACAGTAAATGTTACTTTAATCTAAAAAAGGAAAAAAACACTTTAAACTTACACATATATGATATATCAACTGGAAAAGTTTTCATCTATCTTTACAAATTTGTTAGGTGTTAAAACAAAATTATATTCTTTCTTCTCAAATCTTCTTTTTTTTAAAGTAGTGAACACAAATGAATTACTGATTGAAATCATGAGTCAATCGAAGCTAGAACAACATGGAAAACCTGAAAACACTGCACGGCAGTTTCGTCCTATTGTACGACTCCTCACCAGTGCGCGTCCACGATACCGCACAGCCGGTTTCGAACCCAGGACCTATCAGTCTCCCACGCGAACGCTTAATCTCTAGACCACTGAGTCGACCGAGGTCTAACGGTTCTAATGTCTAACTTCAACTGATCCGTGAAATTGAAACACTGTTCACTATTGTGTTCAGTGATTCGCTATCATAACTGATGCAGTTGAACTCCACTGGTCACTGCTCCTCACTAGAACTTCAGGAAATATCTCTTGGAGGCTATCACTAGTGAGTATATGATGATTATAATCAGAGAGGTGTTTTGTTGATATTATAGTAATATAATAGTTGAATTGATGAGTCAATACTTTCACGTTTTCCATGGTGGTCTAGCTTCAATTTGCTCATGAGTTCAATCAGTGAAATTTCTAATATCTTCACAAAACCCCTTCTGATAATAAATGATTTAAGCAAGTGAAAGTAACTTTAATTTAATTTACTCTGAAAAACAAACAAACATTATTAGTATAGGTTTTCTAAGAAATTACTAATTAAACTACTTCAGTAGTAAATTCATCAATAGATTTATGTGTATATGAAAAGAGGATTTCAATCAAACACTTTTATGCTGATTTTATCTTTAGACAATCAATTTTGAGTTAACTGTTTTACTTTATCTACTTTAAATTTTTATTACCTTTCATTCAGTGAATTTCCTATTTCATAAAGACAAAAAATTATACACAAATCACAATAAAACTTTTTATCACTATTTTTCTATACAAAATAGGATGGTGGAAGAACCATTAGTATTCATAAAATATTTTTTATATAGTTTTGTTTTGTTTTGGTACCAAGTTTAATACTGTGAATTTATGATTCAGCCTTAGATAATTTGTTGTAAGATTGCTAGGGTTAAAAAAGGTAGTGTATTCACATATCTACATAGATGTGTGTGTACATGTATGTATGTGCGTGCGTGTAATATGTTCAATGTGCTATGAAATTACTGGTTAAATAAAAGTTAGTCTATTTGTGTTTTAGTGTGCAAAATTATGGTAAACTAAACCGTTGTTATTAGTTAGGTTTCATTATGTTTCCTTTTAAAAGTTATCCATCTTCACATATTATTTTGAATGTATGTACCACTATTTTATATATGCATGTGAAATAAAATCAAATACATGGTGACCAATACCATTCTCACTGTACTATTAATCACATTAATAAAATAAATGAGGTGAAAAAGATTATAAATCAGTTTCAAGTGAACAGAAACAATAAAAAATTTTTGTCTAAAAACACACGGTAGTTACTACTCAAATATATTGGAATGTGAATATACTAACTGAAATTATGGTATATTAGAAAATATTTATTGAGTTCAATACAATATTCATTACATATGACTATTAGAATATACAAGAAACATAAATAAATTTCATTTGGATTTTATTAAAAATTTCTTCAGAGGATCTTGTTTTAATGAAGTCATTACCATATGAATATTATATATTATTAAATATGATTTTATTATTAATTTTGAATGAATTATCATTCATTATTGGTTTAAATGAACATGTTCAGTTGTCAAATACAAGTAAGTTTTAATGAATAATTACAATAATACAATATCACTAAGTATTTAAGTATATAAGGCATGATAGTTTTCTTTACACTCAAACATTTTAGTGAGTTAAAATTATTACTAGAAAATATATCATGAATGATTTCAGTTGCTAACTGATTAACGTTTAGGTTTATTGAAAGCTGTTACATTGATTTATTATATTTTTAATCAGGAAAGCGTTTTATGGATATTATAGGAATATAATAGTTGAATTTTTAAGTCAGTTGAAGCTAGACCACCATGGAAAACGTGAAAGTATTGACTCATCAATTCAACTATTATATTACTATAATATCAACAAAACACCTCTCTGATTGTAATCATCATATACTCACTAGTGATAGCCTCCAAGAGATATTTCCTGAAGTTCTAGTGAGGAGCAGTGACCAGTGGAGTTCAACTGCATCAGTTATGATAGTGAATCACTGAACACAATAGTGAACAGTGTTTCAATTTCACGGATCATTTGAAGTTAGACATTAGAACCGTTAGACCTCGGTCGACTCAGTGGTCTAGAGATTAAGCGTTCGCGTGGGAGACTGATAGGTCCTGGGTTCGAAACCGGCTGTGCGGTATCGTGGACGCGCACTGGTGAGGAGTCGTACAATAGGACGAAACTGCCGTGCAGTGTTTTCAGGTTTTCCATGTTGTTCTAGCTTCGATTGGCTCATGAATTCAACTATTAAGTTATTATATTGTTATAATGTTTTGTGTTTTAATGAAGTTTCTTTTGCTAACAAGTAAAGCTTGATCTAAATGGAGCCTAAAATAATTATATATTTAATTTCATCAGATATTTCATATAGTGTTTATGAATCTGCACTTAAATCTGGCATATAGACGCATAGTATATACGTTGCACAATGTATAACTTGTATTTTTCAGTACTTAGTATGTTATTTATTTCTACAACCATTAGTTGAATAGTTTTTTTACACTACGTTAGCAGGGTAAATAGAAGTATGATTTCATAATAAATGTGAATGTTCACTTTATAAAAGAAACAGTAATAAACCTTTTCACCTAGAATTCATAGGAAACACATCACACCGTTGTTACTCTGCTAGCTCGTGAGTAGTGTACTGAATGCTGTGTCAAATGTGAATTCCTGAAAATACTTGAATTACTTATGTACTAAATGAAGAAAGCTTACTTGACAAAATCATTTTGTGTTTACTGCACAAAGTAATTTGTAAATAGGGAACGTATCAAGTTATTTATAATCTGAAGTTTGAGTTAGTTGGGAAAAATTCGGTTTTGACTCATTGTTTCACAATTTTTGAGTCGTGAAAACGTTTATTAAGAATACAATAGCCTATTATCACTAACTAGCAAAGTATATAAAGCATGATAGTTTTCTCTAGTCCCATGCAGTTTAGTGAGTCAATAATCTTAACAAAATATATCATTTGACTTACGGGTGATTGCTTAGTATTTAATAGGTTTCTTTTATATTTACCTAGGACTTGGATACCGAAACAAAGATGTATACCGTTCATTTTAAAATCGGTTTCAGTGTAAATGTAATCAGTTTTACTACAAATCTAAACACTTTTCAACTTGATTATGTCTTAAGTTTTTTACATTAATGATAGAAGATATAATTTTTAATTAAGCGGCAAGTTTTAGAATCCAAAACGTAGTAGACCAAAACAAAATGTTGGCGTGATGTAGAGCAATAGATTAGGCAACAAAACGGCTCGGTATGTACGAAACGCTAGTGGAAATATTCGGTTTTATAATTTGTATGAATATGATATGAATTAAGAAGAATGTAACTGAAGTGATTTCTTTCAAACAGCCATATATGAGAAAGAATGAAAAACAGAATGCTTGAAATTATTCAAAACTTATTTTTAATATGGTGGCTGTTCAGTAATTATTTTTCAGATTTGAGAACCAAGTTTTCTGTTCTGTACTATGGTATCAGTTGTCACTTTCAGTGAAGTCGACTAATTTTCTATATTCGTTGTTAATTTTCCTTCCATGTTAATTACATATGGTTTCTAAATTTCCGACATGCTTTCCTACCTTAAACGTTAGAAGTCTAATTATAATAGTGAATACCAGTCATTTTTTTTAAAAAGATCTCCATGGTAATTGCAAACTTGACAATATCTAGCTATTTATCATTTATCTTTCACAGTATAAAATATTTTGTATTGCAAGAAGATACTGTGACTATCTTTTGAAACATATTTTAGAATACCATATTAAGCTTTATTCACTTATCCAAAATTTAAAATAAAAAATTGTTTTGAATAGTGTGTAATCAACAAAATTGCATAACATTAGATTCGAAAAGTAAATTGTTAAAACGTTGTAAATTTTGATAGTTTAATGGAGGTATTACTTGAATATTAACCGAGTGTTTTCATTTTATTAAGTTTCATTCAAAATATTCTACTATAACTGTTATATAATGATTCAGATTTTTGACGAGTTGAAATAATGTTTTTTCCGTCATTTAGAATTTTGAGACTATGTATGCATTTAAATGATCACGTTTATATAAAAAACTAGATTTTTTTTTGACGTTTTCGCCATTGTTTTCTTACAAATACAAATTCATACAAATACTAAATCATATTCTTCGGGGAGAAACTATTGTATACACATAGTTCCCTTTATTATTTTAAAGAGAGCAAGAACAAAGATTGGTGCAGAATTATATGAATTCATTTTATTTCATTAGGTTCTCATCAGCTGCTTATAACCTCAAATGTTTGAAATTCAACATTATTACAAATATTGACATACTTATACATCAGATGGTGATGAAGGATGAATATATGTAACATAATGTAGCAAAGATTTCGTTAGAGTTAGTGAGGTCATACAATTTTGTTTCGAATATATAAAGTTTGGGAGGGAAAGTTCCAGAAAATTGAGATAGTGATTAGAAATCATGGAATTAAAACACATTAGACGATTATGTAATGAAGTAACTGAAAATAGATTAATGTTAATAAAGAGAGATATGAATTGAAATTGGTCAGTTATGAATGATGTAATTATAAAATTCAGAAAGTTGGAATGACGTGATAAAAACAAATAAAAATAAAAGGGGGTGGGGTGAATGTTACTAGGGCAAAGAAAGATTTATTACTGTTTCTTTTTGTATACAAAGATTTAGTTTTAAACGTTTGATTGCTATTGCTTCGGCGAATTTCAAAAGGTTTGAATTTGATTGTTTGTTGATCACCTTGAAGGACTTCAGTATATCAATTTCGTGTCCTGTGTCAAGGAGATGCCTTGCGACAGCGCTATTAAACGCTTTTAGTCTGTTTGATCTCAAACTCTTCGGAATATGTTCTTTGAATCGAACGTAGGCTCTCCTTTCTGTTCTACCAATGTAACTGCTTTGGCAGTTACTCTAACGAAATATTTGCTACATTATGTTACATATATTCATCCTTCATTGCCCTCTGTTGTATAAGTATGTCAATATCTATAATAACTTTGAATTTCAAATATTTGAGGTTGTAAGCAGCTGATGAGAACCTAATGAAATAAAATGAATTCATATTATTCTGCACTAACCTTTGTTCTTGCTCTCATTAGAAACTATTGTAATTTGATTGAGATCATGAACCAATTGATGTTAGACCACCGTTGGAAACCTAGAAGCAGCGGACGGCTCAGTGATCCAGCAGCTCAAGCGTTCACGCTCGAGACTGGTGGCTCTGGGTTTGAGTCCCTCAAGCGGGGTCATGGATGCGCACTGTTGAGGAGTCGCACAATGGGACGAAATGGCCGTCCAGTGCCTCCAGGTTTTCAACGGTGGTCCAACACCAATTAGTCCATGATCTCAATCAAAAACTTAATAATCTTCGCAACCTCTATACTGATATTGTAATTCGCTTTGCTTCTTCACAACCAACAGTTTTTCTACATTATACTTATCATGTAGTAGGTATTGATTTTTTGTAGTTTTCCGTACACGCTTTCTCATTATACTTAGTGGTAATAAAACTGAAAATGAACTTACATTTGATATTCTGAGAACCTCAATACAATTATACTGTGTTGTATGCTATTTATGTTGGCAGACATAAATAGGTTGTTACCAAAATCAGAAGTGAAATGCCTGATAGCAGTCGGTTTAGAAGACCACATTGAAGAGAACTGTAATGTAAACATATAATAATTGTAATAACAACAGGAATGAAGGAACGGTAAAGTTTGTGAGGGACAATTGTTTGATGTGCAAATGAAGTATTTAATGTATGGTTTTCAGATTTTATGAAGACTGTAATTTTGTTTTTAACACTAAATTGGTTCTTCCCACTTGAGTGTTCGTTCACTAAAATACTTATTAAATTAGTGTTTATAAACGTTAATATTCAATAATGGTTAACATTAAGGAATTGTATTTTATGCTGAGAGAAAACCAGTAACGCTCTAGGTTCACACTACTGACCAATTGAATATTTAATATAACTGTGGAATATATAACAGTTTAAGAATTGTGATAACTGTGTATTTTATTTATAAATCAATCATTTGTAATTTCACTAGACGTTTTTCACTAATAACTAATGTGCATATTTAAAAGTTACATTTAATTTAATTCTTATGTTTGTTTTTAGTTTTAAACAAAGAATGTGAAAATGATGATCCACTAGGTATGATATCAGGTACAATTGCCGATTGGCAGATTACTTCATCTTCAACTTATCCATCCAGTTTGGTGAAAGGATGTGAAGAAAAAAATGCACGCTTATTTCGAACAAATGGTTTAGCTTGGTGTGCAAAATTTAAATCCTCTTCAGAATGGCTTCAGATTGATTTAGGTGTACAAGCATTAGTAAGTGAATATTTTGTGTAAGAAATGTTTATATGAATTTTGAATGACGAAAATTTGTCTCAGTTAAATTGATTGTTCTCTTTGATTTTAATTAGAAAACTAATTATATAGATAGTTGATTATTTCAGCAACAAAAAAGAGACTACCCATTATTTCTGATGATCGTAAGAATCATAAATTCCTAGCTAGTTTGTGTCCATTATTATATTTCTTTAAACAATCAGGTTTGGTATATCTAACTTAATGCCTACATTCAGAGAGAAAAAAAGTGAAGGTAAAGAAGACATCAAGTAAATATGTGGGATTAATATCAATTCTTTGTTACGTTGTATTAAATTAGACCAAAATAAAGATGTTATTTGATGTTTAAAGGATTACATTAACACAATTTTAGTATTCATTTAGTTGCAACTATATTTATTTAATTGTGGAAAGTTTATTGAAAAACCTAGTAGGGTAAACTTATTGTAATATTATTATGTGAATGATGTTCGTTTTTCTGTCTTACAGAAAATGATTAACAGTATAGGGGTAGTAGAGATTATTATGTTTTTGATTGAGATCATGAACTAATTGATGTTAGATCACCGTTGGAAATCTGGAAGCACTGGACGGCCGTTTCGTCCTGTTGTGGAACTCCTCAGCAGTGCACATCCACGATCCCGCTCGCGGGATTCAAACTTGGGGCCTTCACTTTCACTCACGATTGCTTAATCTACTGAACCACTGAACTGGCATCCAGTGGTGTTAGTGTCTAACATCAACCAATCCACGAAATTACACGACCATCTTCCATTGTACTGAGTTAGATATCTGTCTCTACCCGACACAGTTTAGCGTTAGCTTAGCTTTAACTTTTCTAAAATTATTATTATTACCTTTCACTTATAAACGACTTTAATATGAATAGAAGCAAAACGTCAAAACAGACACTTCTTTATTTGTTTTTAAATTAATTTACGATGAATAAACATTTTAAATGTGAAATCTACCAAATCATTATGTTTTCCACAAACAATCATTCACTGATGATCTATTCAGATTCACATCTTCGAAGCTCATATTTGAAGTTCATAGTGTATTAAAATACCACTCGCCTAGCGAGTTAAATCTATTTGTAACTAATGATCAATGAAATATGATCACATTTAAATCTGTGGTAAATCTAAATGTCTTAACTTGTTTTCAGTGATTCACTATAATAAGTGTAACTAACTTTTCTAATCTAAATTGGACCTAGTAAAACATACTATTTTAGTTACGTCAGTGAATATAAATAACAGTTTCAAATATTTTGGTTACATTATTTTCAAGTGGTTATTAGATAAGCCGATCGTATCATTGAGTAATACAATTAAAAATAAATAATTTTCCATAGTCTACAAAAACCCCAGGGTACTAAATTATTTAACTAAAAGGCTTGTAGAATTTATTTCAGATGAATGTTGGTTTGTGTCACCGGTGATATCAAACCATGATCCATGGTAAAATGAAGAAAAACATTGATTACGTTTTTTATTTTAATGTGGGACTTGATCATTTGTCGGTAAATATGGGCTCAAGACAAGCAGAGAATGGGTTACTATCACACAATTAACTCTAAACTTAGTGATTTCGTTCACATTTTTAATTTAAAAAAACTAATACAGAGAGGTGCTATCTTAGGCTACAGGATTCGATGTTTTGGGTATTACTCTACTTGAATGAAACAATTATTCAATCCTATATAGTTCTGAACACCTTTCGGCCGCTTTTATACCGTTTGTTCATTAAATTGTTTACTCTGTTTTAGAGTTTAGAACTATTTCCTTTCTTATCCGTGGTAAACTACTATAAAGTGTGTATCAATATAGCTTGAGCTCTAAAAATCTATTTCGATATCACTTTAATTTTAAACTAAAATACCTTCACTTTACCTATAAGATTTTGTCGTCACTTCAGTTAAAAATAACTTTTTAACGCTCTCTGAACTTCGATGTGAGATTAACGGATATCAGACCACTTATTCAGATCTTCGCTAAAACATTATGATCTTTACAGTCAGTGAAGTGAGATTAAGCATTGGGTGATGGTAAATAACATCTTCAACAGACTTTGATCCGGTAGTCTGAGAGTACAGAAATGTACACGAAACCTATAATTTATGGTTTTTAAACAAACAAGCAGTCTTTGATATGCATAACTAAGAGGTTTTAAACAAGGACGAAGTGACTTTTCAAGTGATGCTTGATATCCATTGTTCTTCAGCCGACATCATTCATTGACAAACAGATCTCAATAGATCACAGAAATTAAATCGATAAATTATCTTTGCAAGGAGAAATGTTAAACACTTTCTGTGTAAGTCACCTATTCAACGAACTTCCATGATCACCGAAAAAATAGAACAGGTTGTGAAAATCGCTTGTATAATGGTTTGGCCATCACACTCCTACTAAATAATAGACGTTTTTTGGAATGCACTGACCGATCATATCTATTAAACTGTACACTTTTAGTGTGCGCCTTCATAACAATCTCCTATTTTTCAGTATCTCAGATTTATTCAGCAATAAATCCGTAGACGGGGGCCTTCATTTTTTATTATGTTTACCAGTGCCATTATTCAAGAAATTTTTCTAGAAATCTGGTAGTTTTTTATGTATAATCATGGACATAATTAATTTCAAATATCATTTATTTTATGTTATTATTTTATATTTCACCTGGATTGTGTGCCAGGTATGGTCTGAGAGTGTTCCATATTCACATATATTTGAATAATCGAAACTATGATAAAGAGTGGTTAACAGTAACAGTCTCGGAATTAAATTTTTAATGAAACACGATACCAAATATTAAATTTATTTGAAAAATTATGTTTCTAAAAAAACCAAATGGGAAATTACAGGGGGAATAGCTGATACCACTACTGTTAAATCTTGCAAAATAACCCCAATAATTATCTGCTCATGTTCTTTAAATATTTCTAATATAGTTTTTAAATCCTATCGCCTACAGAAAGGAAATCAACCAATGTAGTATTGTTCACTATTGCAAAAAATACGACATAATTATTATACATAAGAAGATATCAAATTGAAAACTTATTTTTACGACTTATTTTATCTCACTTTCCTTTTTTTTCTCCAAAGTTTTTTTCTCGTCTTTTTTATTTCACAAAGTGCAAATCAATTAACTGAACCATCATTTCGCTATGCTAACGGTTAGGAATTAAATAATGAACTAAAAAAAACTATTATTACTATCGTGACTATTCTACATTTAAACAATATGAAACCTATTTTTTTATTCCTTTTTAATTTCCATTCAAAAATATGAATTTACTCTATAGTCATTAATTATACTTCACTCTTATTTAATAAACGTCAGTTGAATTCTAAACAACAGCAACAAAAGTGAATATTTGATTAAAAATATTTCTGTATTACCAAAAAAACTATCATAGTAACTTGATCTCGTTTATGAATCTGTATAATTGAAGATCATTATTTGAATAGTTTTCTCCGTTGTTGTTTAGTTTTTTATTTTCATTTTTCACAAACGACATATGTGATCAGATTTTTACCCGTTTATTATTACTGTTATCATTATTTTTTTTCCATGACTATTAGTAGTCACTTTCATGTTTAATCATTTCATGTTAAAATGTTAATTGCTCTAGATGTTATTACTTTAGAAACAATTTTGTTAATGTAGTTTTAAAACAAAAAAAAGAAGAGAAAAAAGAAAAAGAAAGAAAACTTAGATAAGATTAATTCTCCATGTATTTTAAAATATGGCAAATCATTTTATTTTACTGAAAAATAAAAAAATAAAATCAAATAACACAATCTATAATATTAGATAACTTTTATCTTGGCAAAATATACTATTACAATGTTATGTTGATTGACTAAAAGTTCATTCATGCATAGTAATAAAATGTTCTTTTTTTATTGATCGGTGAAATGGATAATACATGTCTAATATTCTATTTATTCTTATTACAAGTTACATTTCTTTTAGTTACTTCATAAATATATTTGAAAAAAAAAATTAATGTCTTTTACTACCGTATAAATGTAACACATATATCATGTAATGTAAATTTTATAAAAAGCCGACAGTATAATGCATTTAATTTGAAATTATCACAGTTTATCAGTTGACTGACTGAATAACGAGTAAAGTTTTGTTATTCAAACAATATGTATAGTGGGTATAAATTGGTAAGCATATCCATAATCAAATTCATAACAAAGAAAATAAAGTTTTAAAGAATACAACTATAATATTAGACACATATCTGAATGAATTTCCACCATAGTGTATACTTAAAAACAAGTCTATTATATTCAGTGCATTGTATCAACAAAGCTTGATACTTTAACTATAAAGAAAGTTGAATAGATCAAGGACATACATTGCTAAAATTCAATACTTTTTCTTACAATCAATATGTATAATGTCTCTTGGTAAAAGAATTTGTTTAGAATCATGTTAAATAAAATTACTCATTCATACTAAAAACATCAAATTTCTACACAGCTCTTCACATGCATACATATGCATTAAGATGTCACTCATAGAATCGTCTTAGATTTTAATTACGTATCAGTATGTTCAAATCTGTTCTTATGTATCATGTTTATAGTTCACCTATTATATTATTAAAACTAGCAATGACTCGAAAAAGATTATAGGTTCTTTAGATAAGAAGCATATTCTGGGTCTAGAAACTCCAACAATTCAGTTTTAATTCATTCCGATATTACAAATATGTTTTTATTTATTATTTTGTTTTCATCTGATTAACAAGAATTTACGTTCATACTTAAAATTATGATCTGAGTAAAACTTTTAATGTGTCATTTTAAAGTATTCGTTTAATTGAAGGTATCATCATTGTTTGATCAGTACCAAACTGTTTGAATTGAGTAAGATACATAAGTTACGATTTAACAAAGAAAACCTTTTGATATGTAGTAGGGATCACAATATTAAGAGGTCTCAATCTAATGCTGTCCTATACGTAATTTGTTGCTAATTGTTGTAAATAAGACTGGAATAACGTGTCTTCGCTAAAATTTTATTTTGAAGCCTAAAAGTTCACTTATATCAAGTCAGTTCATCTGACCTCTATAATCTATTATGTATTTATTAGAATTTATTACAAATCCACATTTATTGCCTAAATAACATAGATTCATCTTGATTTATAGGTTATACTTTTTAACTAAGATCAAAACAATTTTTAGTTGTATTACCTTTGTTATATGAAGTTGAAGCGAATTGTGATTAGATATACTCTCAAGTTTTTGATAGAGTTTTTTTCTTTGAGCTGGATAGTTTGGTCGTGGAGCTTTCATCGTTCTTCTGAACGACGTCATCAGCACAAACTTTAGAATTTCTCCATATGCATACAGAGAAATTCTGAAGTTTGTGCTGATGACGTCGTTCAGAAGAACGATGAAAGCTCCACGACCGAACCATCCAGCTTGAAGAACAAAACTCTATCAAAATCATCCACCTGAGCTACAAATCTCCACCATCTCACTCTCAGGTTTTATTTTGTTACTGATTACATATAAAGATATTAGATTATAAGTAATTACACCAGTCAGTCAGCTTAGTTGTTTACTTGAAGGCACTGTTAAATAATCATAAATATGTACTGTTTTTGAAAGACTGAAGTATGCAAAACACTAACTTTATTAGTTAGGAGTAACTTGAAGTTGCTTCTCTGAAACTATAGACGCATCAATGTGAACAATACGCAAAGTGATTTGATTTATACGGTAGTTAATAAGGTTAAAGTGTTTTTCAAATAATCAGCAAACTTAATTTACTTATTATAAACAAAAATGCGAACCACTAAATATTTAGTTACTTTCTAACAAGTTTGTGCTCACTTTTAACAAATATTCATTTTCTAATGTGTAGGAAATTAATAAAACAAATGATCTAAAGTTATCAATATGACATTCCTTATTTGTCAGCTGTTTGGGCTCCTACTTATATTGGAAATATATATTATTATTGTTCCATTGAAGAATGTGCACAATTTGCTATATATAGAATATAAAATAAAACGATGTAATTATCAGATGTGTGGTTCAGTTATGTAAACGAAATAAACTATAATAGAAAAATGAATAGTTAACAATGTTGTAGTGTAATTACAGAAAACGTAGTCGATAAGAAACAAATCACTATTCATAAAACAGCAGACGATTTTAACGTATTATCTTGTTATCATGAATATAAAATGAGAATATTATGTCATATAAGATCCATTAATGGTATTTGTAGTTTGAATTCCTACTGATAAACTACAATTAGAGTTACTTAACTAACCCAGAAAGTTGAATTAACTCTTCATTGAGTCAGATAGCTATTTTATAGATCATTATACCTCATCAATTATAAAAATAGATTGATATCTACATTTATCTACATATATATTTGATTTGACTAATATCTGTTGACTTTGAAACAACGCATACATCTGTTTTCATTTCAGTACTAATAAACAAATGATATAAAAATATCAATCCATGAAACTATATTTTATGGAAGACCTTTAAGCGACGCTAAAGTGACCATGAGAATGTCTACCACTTAACTAGGACTAAATAACGATGATAAAGCAGTGTGAGGAATTAGAATTGACAGTAAGTGATTAAGGTGAGGGACGAGATTTAAAGTTTTCATCACGAACTAACATCAGCTAAAATGCCAAGACGCTATTTAACCAAATGGATGAATGAATTTCGAGCCAACCCTTTAAAATATTAGCAGCTGAATTTCAGTTGCTATGGCTTTGTGGAATCAGTGTACAGAATTATAAAATTTGGTTTGTTGTGAAGTAGATTCATTAGTTTTCCTGTTAATATGACTATCATTAGAGAATAATCAAGAAACTGTTATTCTATCAATTTACCATGAAATTCTGTGAAGGCTAAATCATGAAATCAAGTCCAGATTAATTTCAGGATATCATATCAAAATCACTAGAATTTTGTTCGGAAATCATAATAAGTAACTAACTAACAAAATTTTGCAATAATGGTAAGGTACCTTATTCCAATTTATTGACAAGACATTTGAAGAGGTCTGCTGTAAATTCTAAACCCAAATCTGAAATTTTTTCTGAACCAACATTTAACCATAGAGTGAAATAAATGTCTGGTGTTAGCAACGCCGGTAAATAACCTTGCCTCGAAATAATAGATGCTAATATAAACTAAGAAAACTCGGTTTAATATAATTCTACTAAGTAACGTTTATTTTCAGTATACTGGATAATACAGATGAAAACAAGTAAGTCAACCAGATACAATTCTTTCAACCATGAGTTACAAATTGATTAGTTTACTGTTACTTATGATAGTAATTTTCAAACTATATTTTCCACGCCATGGCTGATCTACCAATTTATCATTTAATGTCATTTTTTTCAAACGACAGAAGAACTGATAAAATAACTTCCATTTGTTGTGCATTAAATTTTAAAGGTAACAGGCATCATGACTCAGGGTCGGGGTGATGGTTCAGAATGGGTAACTTCATTTATGGTATCCTACAGTGATGATGCTATGCACTGGAAGTTTGTCACTGACCAATATGCCAATCAAAAAGTAAGTTACTTATCAGTTTTTCTTATATATATTTATTAAGTAATGTTTTTGTCCTGATGATGTATAATAATCTAACATGATTCTTTCTTGAATACTCACTCAGAAATGTACTTATTAGTAAAATAACAACTTTATAAATTGATCAGATAAACACGTTACACCTGATGACTGAATATTTCTTAAAATTTGTACTAGTGGGATCAAGTACTTGCCCCATGATATAAATTTATTTATTCACGGAGATCTTAAAATACATTTGCGTCACTTATGAGCTAACACTATGCTTGCGTAAGATAGAACAATATTTATTTAAAATACATATATTCTTAGTGATAACTGTTATCAATAATTTTTTTAGATAAAGTTAAGGTGATAGTCAGGATTTTAACCGTCAGTTAGTTAGAGTAACTGTGTTTAAAGATAATTCTCTACGCTATTACATTGTGCGATAAATAGCATTTAGGAATCATTTTTTTGTTCATTTCCACCCATGAACTTATATTAAACCTTATGTTGAAAGATAGGTAAATTAAAAAATAAGGTAATAGATGTCAGTTTCGAAGCATACATTTTCTATACACCTGTAATGATCTTTTGACGTTTTTTCACGGCCGTAGTTCAACCTGTGTTCGGAATTATTCATTTTAAGTTTCTATCCGTTTTATAACGTTCTTTCGTTGTTTAAAACATTTTCCTTATAAACGGTTTTATAGATAGCATCACTGAAAGTGATTATCAGTATACCCAGTATCAATTATGTAACATGATGTTAATTCAATTAGTGTATACTACTAATTTTAATAAGTTTACAAGTAGCTAATATAAAACCATGAAACTTATTGAATACTAATTAATGTGTTATTCATGCCTTATTTAAATAAGGAAAACATTTTAGAATGACTCTTACACCATAGAAAACAGAATAAATATTTATCTACTTGTAGTTCAATCCATTACCATCTAATAAATATTTATTAAACAGAACCAAATAGGTTTTACATGAATTTTCAACAACCATAGGTAATATCATTCGGCGCCATGTTTTTTTCGCTATAGTAATTTATGTTTTTTTTCCAGCCAATTCTCTTATAAATGTCCATTTCATTTAGCTATACAATAGTTATGAAGTATTTTGTAACGAAAGCATTTAATCATTTAGGATAACATAACACTGTACAATGAAATCATTTTATTATTTAAATAGATATTATTGTTACTACTGTTGTTGAAATGAGAATAAAGTATTAGACGAGAAAATAATAATTTTCTAACAAGTCATTATTATAGATTTTTACTGAAACATATGTTTTACTGAAATCAATCGTCAAAACATAACACTTGAATTTATACATACACATACATCTGGAATAGTTAGTTATATCTCAAATGTTTCTCGTTATATTTTAGGTGACGTAGTATAACACTGTCCTACATTTAAACAGAGTGTTGGAGATTATGTATATATATATATATAGAAAATTAATTAAGGTTGTATTTTTGTGTTAAATAGCTTGTTTTTTTTGTATTTTGGTTTATGACTTCTTTTTGTTTGTATTTTGATTCTTTATTACAACTAAGATGACTTATTTTGAAAAATTTTTCGTTCATCTCCATAGTTAATTATCATTGGAATTGTTGTCTATAGATGTGATAAATTAGACCATTCTAATACCTACTATTACAATACATTGAGCTTTCGTTTGCTTGTCTAAATAAAAATATAAAAATAACATTACATAAATGAAAATATCTGTTTGAAATCTGGTCATATATATATGTGGGGATATGAGAGTCAAATAGATAAATTAGGAACAATAAAGGAATATAATATTTTAGTACCACGTTTTTAATGCCCAATAATATTAGTCGATTAAAAACGTAGATATTTATCTGGTTTTATCATAAATCCAGTTAAAAAACTAATGTTTGTTAGGATCAAACCACTGGGATCACCTGTATTCAACAATCCGTCGAGGTTTAGCTCATTCATACTAAATTCACTAGATAGAATAGTTAAAAGAAAAACTTGACAAGTTACGTAGGAACATTATGAATTCTTAGTGACGATGACTTTTTTAAATTTCTAACAATTGATTTTTATCCTCATTCGACAAAGTAGTAAAATAATGTGAAAAAAGCCTATTCCAAAAATTATCTATTTTTTGTTCTGAGCATATATAGAATACGTTTTTTCAGTAATTTAAGTGTTTGATTTCTGTCAAGGTATCAATAACGTATTATGCTAACTACGTTCATTGATTACATGTAAACCGGTGGCCTGCCTAAACATCTGGGCTACCTGTTCCTGCCATCTAGATGTTTCAAGAAGGTATCTATTTTTGTTTGTTCTAATACATCATTATGACTGTTAATCACATAACCTATTCAGGTGCGTTTCTGAAAAGTGTAAAACTTTTCGTTGTACAAGTTACAAAAGGTCCATCAGCGAAATCATGTCTGCTGGCAATATGCAGCGCAAACAATGTTAATTATTTAGATGTCAATTGACTAAACTCATAACTTCTAGCTGGCGATCACTCAATATTTATGGTCAGAATAAGATAATGGAAATTTATTGATTTGCTTTGTGCCGAGAGTTCTATATTGTACCAAAAATATAATATTGAATAAAGCCAATGATAATAAGCATCAAGTAAAAATATTTTACTTGTGTATGTTTACTTTTCGTTTTGTGACCAAATTTTCAACGACTGCTTTGCTGTAGAACACAAGTGTAGCAATATATATATATATATATATATATATATATATATAGTATTTAGCATATTTTATTTTCACCCTAAATATATTTATAATTATAAATGAAAATACAAGTGTGGGGAAATATTGGGGACGCTAAATCCCCAGAACTCACTTGGGAAAGGACCTAATTTTGTAATTTTATTTAGAAAATTTGAATTTCTTTGTTTTCGAGCCAAAGGCGCTCTTGTAACCATGTCGTATTTTCCACTGGGAAATATCTTAAATCCTATAGGTCCGTTGCTTCTTTAAGTATGCTATTCGGTAACTCTCCCCAAGGACGGTTTGGTACTGTATATTTACGTTTTGAATTGTGTTTGTAGTGGTCGTTCGTTTCTGGCTGTTTGCAGAATATACTTCCCCATTCCAAGCTTGGACTTCTCCCTCGGGTTAGTGGGGCTGGGACGCATCAATAACTAGCTTACTGGTCTTTGGTCATCGAGTCTTGTTTCTCGTTCGCAGATTAAGTGAACTCGTGATAGCTTCAACCATAGCAGGAAAAGAAAATTAATAATGTAATACTAGCAAATGAAATTTACCAATTTATTTTTCCTATAAATGCATACATAATAATATGAACTTTGAAGTAGGTCACTTCACATCTACAATGGGTTCTTTTAGACCTTACATATTGTATTATATACTGTTTATCCAATTCCATGAAAAGATTTACGTAGAGCTTTAAAACTCCACTGAACATTGCTTCTCACTAGAAATTCAGGAAATATCTCTTGGAGTCTGTCACTAGTGAGCATAAGATGATTATAATCAGAGAGGTGTTTTGTGGATATTATAGTAATTTAATAGTTGGTTTCATAGTAACGATAAGTCCTGGGTTCGAATTTCGCGGGAGGAGGTTCATGTATGTTCACTGCCGGGGAGTCCCATACTAGAATGAAACGGCCGTCCAGTGCTCCCAGTTTCTCCATGGTGGTCTAGATTCAGTTGACTCACGAATTCAACTGTTAAATAAATTTTAACTAAATTATGTGTCCCGTATTTCTAAATGTATAATTTATTATTTTCTGGTTATAATAACTAGATGTTGATTTTACACTGATATAAATAATCTCAGTTTCATTTAGTTTCCTTTATAATTTTGAAGTGACACATCTATTGTTTTTATGCCCGTTATTGTGAATGATCTGATCTCATCAGTAAAATTGTTTACCACTCTTTACGCATCAATTTTCATCACCGACGGGCTACAAATAAATTCATATTAAGACAAGAAAATAAGCTGGACAAGTATTCACATTAGCATTGATTAATTTACTAAACTGTTAAACATTTAAACAAATCATTTTTATATTTGAGTTGTAGAATTCAATTTGCCATATGAAAAATTTCATCATTTCTTCTCATAACTCTTATGAAATGTGGGCGAATATAAGCCAAAACAAAATGGATCTGAAGTGAAGACTCTAGTAGCTTGCTTCAGATCATATATCTAAAGTACATCAGACTTTGATCTTAGATTACAACTGAAAATCTGAAAGAACTAGGTGGGCGTTTTGTCCTCGGATTTTTAACAGATTGCTTTATTTGGTACCAGTTCAAGCTTGTGATTTGTTTTTTTCTTAATTAACTGAGACTTTACTTCACGCGATTTTTTCTAGATTTTTGAAGGAAATTCAGACTCCTACTCAGTAAAACATAATTATTTTGATGAACCAATTCGAGCAAGATATGTTAAAATTCATACATACACATGGCATAATCATCCTAGTCTTCGAGTTGAATTAGTTGGCTGTCAGTGTAAGTGAATAATTTGAGTTTTATTATTATTATTATTATTACATGATTACATAAATCAACAACTGATTGTTATTCAGTCGTTCAACCATACTTTCCAATCTCGTTACGAGTTTTGTAGCAAAATAAAATAAATATAGTTAACTATTGAAACTTTGTTCATAAACGGTTCGTAGTAATCGCCAAATTCATTATTATACACTGACATTCACAAATAAATTTATTAACGCACAAATAAGAATTATAGAATCAGTAAAGCAGCAAAGTAAAAAGAAATTATTAATAAAATGAAAAGGTGGCATTTAAATCAGACGGTTACAATATTATTTATTACATAACCTCGTTGACTGCATTTTTAATATGATATTGATTCATAAAATCTATTGAACACTTTGAAGGTATTGGTGCAAATTGCTTTGTCATAAACCCAATAATAATTTCTAAAGGTCACTCAATTATCCTTAAACTAAATAATTATGTTTCCGCATATTTTATCGCACGTTCCCCTCATCATTTAAACATGACTTTCTGTCTTTTTTCATTAGTTTTTCTGTCAAATCATAAAACCGTGTATGGTATATTTTAGAATTTTTGACTCATCAATGTTGATTAATTAGTTATTATCCTAATAACCACGTGATGAATGACTATTATATTGCATTACTAACTAATACAAAGTATGGTTTCATGATGTAAGAATTAAATCATGTTAACCATACTGTTAAGATATTGAATTGTACTTCATCCTTATCTAATTGCATGAAGTTAATTATGAATTTTTCCACAGTTCAATTTCGCTAGAACAATGGTGATTAATTTTTGTGGTTGTAGTTAAAACAATAGTTTTGAAGATATAAGCTTACTTCTAAAATTCTTTTGTAACTAACTGCAAGGTGAATAATCTAAAATCTTGACGTAAAGAAAGAGGTTTTATTCAAAAATGTTAAGCTTAATAACTTTCAAGGATTATTACTTATAATCAGTACAGTATGTCTGACAATAGATCTACCATCTCAGAATGTGAGAACATGAACATCATTTACACGTTGGCTAGTGTTAGTCATCCCCATCTATAAAATGAAGTTTTCTAAAGACTTTAAAATACGTTCATGATTTCAATTTCGAAAGTTGTGTGAAATCAGATTAATAAACAAATATTTCAAATGAAATATTAATTAAACATTCCTTAAAATTCATTTGAATCCTTATGTTTATTGTTTATACTTTGTTACTTAAGCATGTAAACAACTTATTGGTATACCTCCTTATGCAAGATTCGCTGCTTCAAGTTCTCGTGGCAAACGCTCACAACGTTCTTGTACTCCAGAATATGGTCATTATCTAAGTAATAAAGCATGGTGTGCTCAGCGTCAGGATGGTAAGTTGAATAAACTGTTTACTTTAAAATAATCATCTATTTTTTGATATAATTACTTACGCCTGTTATCCGTAATAAAAGAGCATGGGCCGCTCACAAGCATTCTCCATCCAACTCTATTCTGGGTTATCCATCTCACTTGTTTCCAGTTTTTATTGATCTTTTTCACGTCTGTTTCCAATCCCCGATGTAGTCGTCGAGATCTAACTATCAATATGTTTTGCTGAGTCCATATTTTAAATTTAATTCAATTTACAATTAACAATAGGGTTTATTGGCTGACCTATTTGCAAAACTGAAATGCTATGTGTGTTAAAAAACTCATGTGATAGTATCTTATAACAGCTGAACTACATTTAGATGGTTTATAATTGGTTTCATAGAAATTATCCTGGAGTGATGGAATGATATCTAAGAAGCAATGGTGATGACAGTTTCTCTTAACCTAACATATAGGATTATGCACCTTTTCTACAAACAGATAATAAGAGAATCATTGTAAACTTTTATAAATTTTCCAGGGATACTGAAAATGTTTTTATAAAATAGACAACTTTATCTATAATAATATGAACTTATTGGCCTAATGCTAAAAGTATACAAACGATAAGCCGATCATTTAGTCGGTTTTTTTATTTTGTAAGTTAAATAGTGGTAACTTTTTTTAATAACTTTATGGAACAGTCGAATTCTTAGACAGACTTTTGTCTACTAAGTAAATGTTTATTTTTTCCGTTTAAATGTTCTCACATGAACAATATACTCAGTCAGTTAGCAAGTTTTATTACCTTTGTTCAAGCATAGACATATTTGTAAGAAATATAATTAAGTAATCATGAGTCAGCTTATTATGTGACGAATGTTTAATAAACCAAATATTTGTTTTCCAGTCACTGAAATTATTGTATCTAACTAGGGTTTACTAATCTAACATTCAACAACCTTATAAAAACGAATAATCTTATAATGTATCAGATTAGAATTTTTGGTCAAAATCAAGTTCTTAACTTTAATATTTGGAGCCTGGATAAGTGGATATTGAGAACCAATCAATGGAAGGTAACGTGCAATAATTATGAATAATGACGTTATATAGCAATTATATTACATAATACTATTACAAAGTTAAATAAATACGTCCTTTCAGAATTTATTAACCACAGTAAACTGACCTATACGTTTTTATATCCTTTTGTCTATCAAGAATATTGACAACAAAAAGCTCTAAGATAATATATTATATATTACTGGTAATCAATAAGTAAACAGTAAGCTAATATAAAATGTTGCTTTAACAAAAGTCATTAACTTAAACTATTGTTTTTTTCTAAAAAATAATGTCATTCATACTTTACGCTTTAGTATCTTCATAGATATTCTAAAGTGAGATTGACATTCTATAGTGGGAACATTTATTGATTTTTATATTTATTCGTTTCTTTAGTATTACATTTCAATTATGTTATTTATCAATCTTTTTATTTCGATTGCATAATGATAAAATCAAATGATTTATGGATTCATTCTGTTTAATAATAACATATTAAAACAGTTAAGGTTCAATATTATTTTTCTTTCAATAGTTTATTATATATTTCTAAATTAATCTATAATAAGATTTATAACCATAGCTAACAAATTACAAATTGCATAATATTTTTCTTAGGAGTGATTACAAACAAACTCAGTTTTGTGGTTTTGTATAAAAGTGTAAAAAGGCGTATACTAAGGTTTATTGAAGCCTTAGCCATACGAAAATTCAGACCCCCTTTGTGTGTTTAAAAACAGTTTGTTCTTACCTTAAACCTACCCTGGTAATATTGACTTATTATCCAGAGTGATTAGGTTTCAAATTGCGTTCACATTATTATTATTACTCTTATCATTATCTTTATCTCCTCTTACTCTATTTCCAGTCTAGTTGACCTTTTATTTTTATATATAAATGCTCTTAAAAAGTATATGTGTGATTAGATTGTTCGAAATGTATTGCGCTAATATATCACATAGTTCTGATAATCTTCGTCTTCTAATTACATTATCAAAATTTATCAAAGGGACTAATTGTTTTAAAATACCATAGATTTCAGAAATTTCAAGCGAAATTGTAGTTTTGCATTTTTTCAAAAAAACTATGATTAAAGAAATCCAAAACTTTCTAACAGTTAGAGAGGGTGGTTTTGTAGACGAAACGGCTGTTCAATGCTTTTAGGTTTTCTATGGTGGTCTAGCTTCAATTGACTCATGAACTGAACTATTAAATTTCTAATAATTAATAAGTATCCTGTTCCTATTGAGGCCTAAATATATATAATAATCAAATATATAGCGTTTTTAATCCTAAAATTTTATAATGCTTTGTTTTAGGTAGTATTACTCATTAAGTAGAAATTTGTTCATTCATTAAACATTCAATGAGGTAAAAAAATGTCTAGTTCAGAGATCGAATTGTTAAATTATCACCGTTTCACAATTCAGCTTGTATCAATGGTATTTTCTATAGAGACAATTAACATTTTAGACAGATTTTGGGAATTTCTGATTAGTCCACATATCATGATTATTGAAAATTTACCATTTTCTTCATAGTTAAAAATTGGCGTCTAATTTATTTCAAATATTTGAAATTGAAAAAATATTTCCATAAAATCCATTTACACTATTGAAGATTTGATTTCAACATATTTATTTAAATGATATCAGTTTTGTAATATCTTCCATTCTTATTCGAACAGTTTACTTTCGAATCAAAGCCTTAGTGAATAACTTTTATTTCTAAAGAAATTGTTTGTGGGAAAAAATTAACAAATAATTGCTGTTACGAAAGAAATATTTATCATTACTTGATGGCAGAAGATTCTCTGGTTAATTAGGTCCAGCACCATATATAGGGCTAAAATCAACACCTTAAATTTCTTTTTGAAGGATAAAGTCACAAGACCTCTTCAATAACTCATACAGTTGTCAAATAGCATTACAAAACAATAGATAACTCTATAATGAATACATAACAATTATTTCATACAATTTTTTCCATTGAAAAATATTAATAAGGTACAAAGAATAAGCTTATTAGGATGAAATGAGTTACGTTTAACTCGTGGATATTTTTTCGCCGTTTACAGACTAGAAACAAGAGTAAAAAATATACATAACCACTTTACATACTTACATCATAATAATGAAGACTGTTAGAATGATGACAAAAGTTATGGGAGAATTATTAAGTGATATAGTGGCTACCTATTTATCTAAAACATGAAGAACAAGTGTAACGGCAGCATAATACCTGACGCGATGAAACGTTGGACATCCATTTCATTCATTATTCCTGAAAATTTTAGTAACTTTGCTATTAGAACTTGTTAAAAATGGTTAACTGTTGATCTCGATTTGGCTAAATACCATTTCGGCATTATAGCTGATGTCAGTTTTTGATGAAAAAACTGTATATAATTTATAACACTAACGTCCAACTGTAAATCGTAATCCTAGTTCCTCGCATTAATTTATAACCCTAGTAAGTAGATGGACATTTTCAAGGTTACTTTAGCGTTTCTCAAAGGTCATCCATCAATTATAGTCTCACTGTATTGTGGATTGGTCTTTGATCATACTTTTATACAGGTGATTAGTACAATTTAAGGTGTTTGTGTGAAAAGAATCCTTTTCTCTTAATCACTTACAATCATGTTTTTTTAAAGTTCACATGTTTTCATTGTAACATAGATATAATTACTGATATACAATTGTGTCAATTTATTTGTATCAAACATACGGGATATTGCGTATGTTAAATGAAATATATCATTTATATAATTATTAATTCCTCTTATCCAATAGAAGAAAATTGAAATTAAGCTTTAGATTATATTGGTAGTTGAATATTCCGGTAATTGTGAGAAACATAAATAAGTACCGAGAATAGAAATTTCTGATAACATAACTTTATTCAATTGATTTGACATAAGCTAAGATAATTCATTCAAGATCATTAAATATATGCACTAGAAAAACTAACGATTCAAACGAACTAGAATGAATAATTTTAGTCAGCTATTTATGGGAAATAAAACCAACTTTAAATACAGAATAAAAGAATGGGATAATGTAAATTGGTTCAGATTGAATTATAACTCATACCCGTAACACAAGTTAGTAGATATCTGAACTTAATAGCCTAGTAAATAACGCAGTAGCATTTGAAGCTAGAATTACTGGGTTAAAGTCAACTTCAGATTGCACATAAACCCAGCTGGCGTGTCCTAAGTAGGATGAAACAATCATTATTGATTCCATTATTCTCCATATTCCATTTACTTTTTTTATTTATTTGTGCCACAATGGTTATATCGAGGCAATCTACACAGAATGATTGATCAAGTTTCAGTCAAATAGGAAAATACCAAATTTTCAAATTGAATTAAACCTCTAAATATGGATGATGAATGTTTACTCGTCATAGAAATCTACCTACTTTAAAACTTATTTTCATTTTGAGACACTGCAACAAAAGCTTCTTTAAATTCATTTGGTGTTGTTTGCTTGTATCTACCTATTGTTGTTTAGAACTGCAATTGTTCAGTCCTTTGTTAGCATATGTGCATCCTGTGCGGGTTGCCTCAATATTGCCTTAAGTCGTAAGCTCTATAGGCAAAGATGGATCGTCGCTAACAGTAGAATTCAAGAAGCGCGTTTCGTACTATTCGGGACTCGTCAGCTCGATGTATCTGAATCTCAGATTTTATGTCCACTCCGGGACTCTAACTCAGTAATGTTCGCTCCAAACGCTATCGCTTTATCCACTTAGCTACTAAGTCCTGATGAACATCAACTCTGGGATGCAAGTACATCCAGATGACGAGTCTCAAACAGAACGAAACACACATCCTACATTTCACTGCTAGTCACTATCCATTTTTACTTAAAAATGTCTTGAATTATTTACCACTTATGAACAAATTCTGTAGAAAAAAAATTAATTAATTGCTAATATAAAC